ATTTCTCTTTGCTGTGCAATGGAGACAGCACGTTTCTCCACGCCGTGGGTCACTCCTGGATGAGCTCCTTCCTTCCAAGCTGGCCAGGAGCCGGGGAGATGAGGCTGGGAGCCACCATTTCACAGTGGCCAGGGCAGGTCAGAGCTGGGCAGCTCCTCATGGACCATCCTGGGGGATACCCCAAGGCAAAAGGGCTCAGTGGCACCGCTGGCACACGCTGAGCAGAAGACAGGCAGTTTTCCAGCTGAAGACATTCAAATTAAACCCCAGTGCAGATGCCAAAGCAAACTGTGGGGAGAGCAGCTCTGGTCGGTTTTCCCTCCCGACCTCCGAGCCTCCGCCGCAGGAATGCAGGGAGCAAAGATAAACACCAGCACCAGAGTTTGGGCTTATTTTCTGCTCTTTTACACTTAATCTCTGGAGGCAAGTGATTATCTTCAGGAATTTTCTCTGTGGTTAAGCAAAGTAAGATCAGTGCAAGGCTGAGACGAGGGAAAGTCCAAAATATGTGAACGAATGACCTGTGCAGGCCAAGAAGTTGGCTATTAAATGCCTAACACTGAACAAACATTAAACAGCCAAATCGCAACACAGGATTTGTTTCACACAGAGGAAATCAAGCTGAAAAGGCCATTAATCTTGGTTTCATATTGACTACATAACTTGTGTTTTTTAGTCCCCGTCACTGAATGAATCAGCACGGCGTGAGCTTTTTTGGAGCACTCACTGCACATGGCAGACTGAAAACAGAGAAATCAATGTTTATAGAATGGACAGAGCCAGTTCAAAATTTGCCTGGCCTCCTCTCTGTGGCCAGGAGGAAGGTGACCTGATGCCACAAAAAAACTAGACTTTGGGAAGATGTTAATTCTGTCAGTGGTTTCCTTGGAAAAAAAAAAAAAAAACAAGTTTCCTGCTTGTTTTTTTTTGCAGATTCATCCTTCACTTCACTTCGCTGAAAATCTGCTGTTTGGCAGAGCTGGTGCTGCTCAGCTCTTGGCTCCGGCCCATCCTGCCTGGCTGCAGGCCCGGAGGGGAGGGAGGTGGTAGATGCTCTCCCTGACCACTGCAGGCAAGCAGGAGGACTCCATCCACACAGCAGCTGCATCCCTTCATATACCGATAGCATATACTGGAGGAAAAAATACCTTTTGCTGCAAGAGTGGGCTGGCTGCATAGGTTACAAGACCTCCCCCAGTAATGCATGGGCTCTGCAGGTGGGATTTCCCACCCAGCACCTACATACTGCAAAAGGCACGAGGATTTGAAAGCGAAGCAGGAGCAAGAGGCGAGGGCATGTATAAGACCGCGCTGTACGGACCCACAAATGATCCGACCTGCTCACTACTCAGGAAGAACCCAAGTGAGGCCACGTGCCAGCACAGAGCGATGGGGTCTGCTCCTGGAGGCCCTTCCAGCAGCGCAACCACGGGAAGACCGAATTGCCAAGAATCTGAATCTGAGAGATGTCCTCCAAGGGTTGGGTGAAGGTGATCCCAGCTGGTGTTGGATATTATTGTGCACTTTCTACCCCAGGAAGCGTTTAGCGAGTTTTGGGGTTGCTGAAGTAGAAACCTTGTGTGTAGTAGGAGAGGCAGCAGGAGGAGGAAAGGGCTGTCCGTGTCCCCCAGCACTGCAGGGAGCCAGCATCACTCCTTCTCTGCAGACAGCTGGGATTTCACTGCATTAGAGAGAGAGAGAGAGCAAAGTCAGTTTACATGCTTGATTAGCATCACCGTTGCCAAGATACACAACCATGTTTGCTCTATTTATTGATTATTTCATCTGTCATGTAATTTATCCAGGCTTCAGGGTACTGAAAAAAAGGAACAAAGGGAGTTTGTGAGCTGTGGGACTCTTTGACCTAAAGCGCCCCCACCCCAGAAACAGTCCCTGTGCTTGGAAAAATCCTAAAACTCCTTCTTTCAAATGAGTGATGGCCTTAACACACCTGCTTTGAGGAGAGGTCGTGTGTAGCCCCAGTCTAAATGGGCAAGAGGGCAGGTGCATGCGGTTACTGTGGGGCACTCAAAGTAGCCATGCATCAGCTCAGTCACGGCAAGGAGGGGCTACAGAGCCAGTAACATCACATCCCCGTCCCAAAAAATCCCCACGGCGTCCCGCAGCGTATGTTCTGCTTTCTTATAGCCCAGCTCTGTTCCTCGTGCAGCGCCACAACTCCTGGGTCGTGCACCGACGCTGAAGCCTCAGGTTCACCTTCCATTTTCTCTCCCTTCTTCCAGCCTCACCACCTCACAAGACTTATCACCATGAATCTGAGACAGTTTTCCCTTCTGCAAACCTCCATCCCACTCATCTCAGCTTCGGGGTTCTCCTCAGCATAGGAGGCGGCCAGGGAGCGAGATCTGGTCCTTCCGACAGCCCTGGGCAGGGTTGAAGAGGTGAAGATCAGGGATGTGAATTAGCAGCTGATTCTGCAAAGTCACAGCGACGAAGCTCTGCTGCCAGAGATTCACATGGAAACATGGTGTGAAGCCGTGAATGCACAATCAGGGCTGCAGCTCGGGATCTGTCCAAAGGAGGTTCTCCCTGTTGAAGGAGGGAGAAATTTGCTTATGCATAAATAGCCTCAAAAATAGCTGGAGGAAAGCACAGGGAAATGAGTGGGAAAGCAAACCGGAGGTTTTCTGGCAGAGCCTGCTTTGCTGCCAGTCTGAGAGTCCCTCTTCGGAGCAGATAAGAACCAGCTGCTTCTGGAGCTCCTTTTTGTTTAAACAAAGAGGCTACAACTGCGGAGAGCACCCACCTTTCCTCTAACACATTGCAGGGTGAGAGGCATCTCTCTCTGGGCACACGTTGTCCTACCCAACAATGTCATCCCAGAGCAGCCAGAGAGAGATCAGAGCCCAGTCACAGCTCTTCAAGGAGTGAGCAGATCTTCCTCTGGGGGATAAAAAAAGAAAGAAAAAAAAATTAAAAAAAAAAAAAAAGGAAAAAAGAAGACATATTTACTATCTAACTCCTCTTGAAAACACGCTGGAAAAATAGACATGGCAACTGCTCAGCATCAGGTAGTGCCTTCATCAGGGCAAGTCCCGAGCTGCAGAGCAACGGGCACCGTGTGGGGCAAATGCAGCTTCTGTCTTTCTGCTGTTGGGGTTTCCTCCACCTGCTCAAGCTGCCTCCAGCACTGGGGGCCAGGCTCCGTGTGGGGCAGAGGCGTTCGGGGTGGGTGAAAGGCTTTGTGGCTCCTACGGGCAGCAGGCGTGAGGAGGGTGATTCCATCCGAATACTCACCCAAACCAGCTAAAACCTCAGCCTGGCCTGCAGCTCCATACGGGATAACTCAGCACCTCCCTGGGGAAGCTCTTCCCAGGGCATAAAACCATCCAGACTTCAGTGAAGGGGTAAATTCTGCACCTTATTTCTGCTTTTAGAAATTGTGATCCATGTTGTGAGAAAAGCTGTCAGCTGAGCGTCCTGGGCAGGGGGAGAAGAGGGGAGCTGGGACACCAGGGCAGAGCATCCTTCCAAAGCCAGAGATCTGCCCAGATGTGCCAGTGCTGTGACCAAGGAGCATCCCAGGGGAGAGCTCAGCCCCCAGCTCATCCATTCCTCGGCCTTTCCAGCAGTTGTCTCCAGCCAGCAGCAGCAAGGAGAACACTCAGCACATTAATAAATCCCATAGTACTGAATAAAGCATTTTGCTTTACGGCTTTTCCATAAGAACTCACCCCTGGGTACTTATAATGAACTGAACTAGAAAAGAAATAAGTATTTCAACTTTTTTTCCCACCAGTTTTCTTTCTTCTTTAAAAAAAAAAAAAAAAAAAAGAAAAAAAGAAAATCACCCTGTTAATTAAAAAAAACTCTCCTGATACTTATGTGCCTGTGTAGGAATATTGATCTCGGTTCAGAGAGAAGGCACTTTCCTTATTGCACAACTCCCTGGGTTAATCCATCTTTCCTGGCTACAGAATATTCCTTGGGCTTCATTTTCAGAGCAGTTCTGTGTTCTCCGCGGTCACGCCTCACCCCGTAACTCCTGGGAGATGCGGGAAGAGCTTGTTCTAGTGCTCTATCAGACTTCACCTCTAACAGCAAGGCAGCTGCCGGCTCACCGGGAGCTCACCCTCATCCCCAACCACCAATTTTCTAGCCTTCTCCCATCTTCTGCTTCCAGGTTGCCAGCGTAACGAAAGTTCTCACTGACCTCAGTGAAAACGATTTGGATGCTTCAGCGTTATCACAGGCACTCAGCAGTGGGTTGAGCTGGAAAAATAAGTCCACGTGCAGAGCTAGCGACAGCGCAGGGGCTGAAACAATCCACACAGTTTAAGTCTGTCAGACTCCATGGCATTCAAAGTACAGGGAGTTTTATTTTCCTTTATTAAAGCACACAAGTAGCCACCTAGGAAACTGTCAGTTTACATCGCAGTAATTGTGAAATCATACCAACACAACCATTTCAGGCGAGAATTCGAGAGCCTGCGCTTCAGCTGGCCAGCTGCCCGCAAGCCTTTAATTCCATAGGCACGGTACAATAAAGCATTTGCTTTCAGGTTTATTTTGTTGCTCCTCTTACAACAAACTCCACTGAGCATCGAACAGAATGCCTAAACACATTCACTGCAAAGGGCCACGGGATTACCCAAAAGCTTAGGAAACACACACGTATTGAGTACTCGATTACGTCAGATTGTTGCAGCATCGTCGTTATAACAAAATCCTTATTTAAAAAAAAAAAATAAATGCCAAACACCAGTGTATTTTGTCAGAGGACGGAGATCTATTTAAAAACCCAACCAAGAACTACAAAGGGAGGGTGGCTGTTCCTTGCACAGCCACTAACAAATGCTCTCCTGCTCCCTGATGGCACTGCAAGAGAAGCCCAGCCCTGGGTTCCCAGGTTCACACACAGCCGGACCCGGTGCCCTGTCAGACCCTTGATGGGCTGACAAGACTCAAGGTCTAATTGTATCTACAAACACAACCACCCACCAAAGTCTTTTTTTTTTTTTTTTTTTTTTTTTTTTCCCCAAGGGCATGGATGCAGCTTGCCAGCAGTGTGGTTCTTGGGAAGTTCTCCTTAGCATGCTTGGGGGTTGTATGAGATTTCCTGGAGAGTGCCTGGGGAAAGGAAAAAAAATAAAATAAAATCTATTGCAAAGTGCTTAAAGTGCCCAGATTTCCCCCTCCATTATTCAAGGGAAGCGCTAATTGCAAAGATTGCTCTGGTATCCATCCAGATTCCCAATCAAATGCTAATCAGCATAAAAATCCTCCCAGCGTGAGCAGTTCAGAAGGGATCTGGGTCCTATATGTGGGACACTGGAATTGCATCTCTTTTTTAAGCTCAACCATAAGGGAAACACTTTACATAGAAATATAACATTGGATTCTTTTATACAGCATATATAAAGAACATGACAGGATTAAAATATTGGCAAATCAATACATTAAAAATACAGACTCTCGGAGACCAGAGCACAAGAAATATATTCACATGAAATCTGTACAGTCCAGACAACCCTGCCGGTTCTGGCGGTGGAGTTGACCTCCCGTCTCCAAATGGAGGTCATCGCTTTGCCTCCCCATCAGCACCGCTGGCCACCACCGCCCAGATTTCTCCCCAGGGCTGTTGTGCTACAGGGAGAATACAAGTCTGCTGTCCCCACCGGCACAGAGGGCACTCAAGGGGTTGAACTCTTCAGGAATGCTTTCATTATCAAATGAAGTGATGGGGCAATTTCATTTTACACAAAGCTCTGGCCTATTAGGAGCAGGAAAAAATAAAAATAAAAAAATCAGTCTGTGGATGGCAGGAGGGGTGGTACCTCAGCAGCATTTCCCAACTGCTCTCAGCATCATTTCATTTGGAAAACAAACAAACAAACAAACAACCCAACAAACAAACAAAACCACCTTTCGTATGGTTTGTGGACCACTTCTCTCATGTGGAGCAGGTGGGACTGTTTTAGGCTGTCTCTCCTACCAGAAATGTCCGTGTCTTCTGGAGCAGCTGCCATTCTGACTTCTCCAAAATGGCTTTCCCCAGCAAACACATACATGTAGACATAGGCCACTTCATTCCTCCCTCCTCTCGCAGAGGAAGATCCCCAAGGCATGCTTGGCAAGACGAAATCCTGTACCTCTAGCACTAGAGAGATGTGTATGTACAGACACATTCTGTTCATTATTACAGTGGAAATATAAGATTAAAAAAAAAAAAAAAAGCAATAGCAGCATGTAAACAAGGATTTGTGTTCATCTTTTTATTTTTCCCCTTCCTCTTCTGAGCTGCGTTCATCAGTTTTGACAGTCCCTGCTCCCCTCACGAGGTGGAGGGATTTACTGCAGACCTTGCCTGCAGGAGCTGATGTTCTCCCCAGGCTCCTCGCCGCGGGGCACTTTGAATTTTCCTTTCCACCAGCTCCCTCCTCTCCCTCCCCGCATCCTTCCCTTCGTGATGACTCATCCTGGAGATGATCCTGGGTTTTGTCTGATGGCTGCTGCCCACTTTGGCTTTAGCAAAGTCTAATTTCAGCGCGACGCTGCAGGAACAAAACCCGCACGCGAGCGGCTGGTGAGCCACATGAGCATCTTAAACAACTCAGAGAGGAAAAAAGAAATGGAGTAGTTTGCATTTTGTCTGTCTTCCAGCAGCAGAAGTGTAAGTCCTAGGAGCGATGCCTGTTTTAAACCTTAATTCCTGAATTCTCAATAATGTTGCAAACCACCAGGGTTTTGCAGGAATCAAAGGGCTTATTTCAAACGCGTTCCTTAATGCAGGGTGCGCTGGAATTAAAAATGCATCGAATGGGCTCACTTTTTCCACACGCTCTTGCAGTATCCGATTTTCCCAACCCCCAAAAATAGTTTCCTCGGTTTCTCAGCTCTCAGAGTTTTTGAGGTCCTGCTAAAGAGCCGTTATCTGAGTTAGCTCTGATGTGGGGGTGGTTGGACTCTGCTGGGCGACAGCCACCATGGGAATTTCCATGCCTAGTCAGGCCGGATTGTTAGTCCCCTCCGAGTTCTTGCAGGCATAAGCCACATCCTTGGCGATGCTGCACATCCTGTTGGACATTTGGAGCTCGGTCCTGAAGGCAGTGGGGAAGCAGAACTTCTTGAAGCACGCCTTGAAGTTCTCATCTAAGAAGGCGTAGAGCACGGGGTTCAGGCTGCTGTTGGCGTACCCCAGCGCGGTGCAGAAGCAGGAGATGGCCAACTCGAGCTCGCTTTCTGCCTTGGCACCCAAGCACTGGACCAGCACGAAAATCTGGATGGGAGTCCAGCAAATGATGAAGACTGCCACCACCACCAGGACCATTCGGGTGATGCGCCTCAGGTTTCGGTCCTTCTCCTTGGAGCCTGAGAGGACACGGACGTTCTTGAGTCGTCTGATCATGAGACTGTAGCAAATGGTGATGATCAACACGGGGATCATAAAGGAGAAGAGAAAGACACAGATACCAAACACTGGATCCCAGTAATCCACGGGTGAAGGGAGTTTAATTAGACAATCAATTTCTGCAAGTGAAAAAAATAGAAAGGAAAGGAAGCTCAGCAAACCCGTATCAAGAAGAAAAGCACATTCAGTTTAGCTTAGGCGTGTTTAATACTGGAAAAGCAGTAGCAGTGATACAGAGAGGCAAGGACAGAAAGGACAGAGTTAAGACGGCTTTACAACAGAGACCTCACGACACTGATGAAACCGGAACCCTTCTCCCATGGCTCTCCGAGCCCATGGGCTCCCTTGGCCACCAGCATCCCCCCACCCCGGGGAGGCGTTTGTACTGACCGTTGTTTTCATTCTCCGCAGACCCCATCACCATTGCCGGGATGCCGAAGACGGAAGCCAGCGCCCAGATGCAGACATTGACCACTTTGGCCTTGTGGGGAGTGCGGATGTCCAGCGCTTTGATAGGGTGGCAGATAGCAATGTAACGGTCCACGCTCATCATCGTCAGGGTGAAGGTGCTCGTGAACATGTTGTAGTAGTCTATGGAGATGGCGATCTTGCAGAGGACATTGCCAAAGGGCCAAAAGCCAAGGAACGTGTCTGTACCCTGGAAGGGTAAGGTCATCAGGCACAAGGTATCAGCCAGAGCGAGGTTAAAGATGTAAATGTTGGTTGCTGTCTTCATCTTGGTGAATCTGAAATGCAGGAATGAACCATTATTAGAGCTCCCTCTACCACGACGGGTAAGACACTGAAGTCTGCTGGAGAGGGCATTCTGCCACTTCAGGAGATGCTGTATTTTTCTTATGTAACAAGAGACAGAACACCACCCTTTCCTTTCTGCCTCCCACACGCTTATCAACACACAGCCCAACGCAGCTCCCACACCACCACGAACCGGTTTCAAGGGCAGCAGCTGATGCCCTTAGACTGCCAGGGAGGACCATGAAAGCCTGAGGCTGTCAACTCAGACCGTGCTTTTTTGAAAAATGACTTCAGTAAGGCTAATCTAGGATTTCATCAGATACGGCTTCATTATTACAAATATTGGTGAGAGCTTTACCTGGTAAGCTGATTTGAAAGGCCCAGGGGTAAGTTGATTAGCCATTTTGTATGGGCGCATAGCCAAAGACTATGGCTAATGTGAGCAAACAAATCAGAATGGGCAAGATGGCCAGCCCCAGCCAGGGGCAGCTAAAAGCCGGTGAGGAATGAGGTTTATAGCAGAAAATCAAAATATCACAGTGGATATTTCTAGAGAAAGGAGTAGTTTGCGGATAAAGTCATGAGTCAGCTCTACTTCAGGAGGGGATTGTCATTTAGAAATGTAATATAGATATTACTTTATCGCATGAATGGACTGCCCCAAAGGACGACTGACCTTGCTCTAATGGTAATCACATCCTTTTTACACATGGGAAATGATGCGAAGAACGATGCGATCACCGACCCGAGGACGCATGCAGAGTCTGCAGAAACGGAAACTCAGCGATGACTCTCTGACTGAATCTAACATTTCAGCTCCAAAATGTTCCTCTCGTGGGCAAAACAAGGGCTCAGATAGAGATAATTTGAAAGCTACAACTCATCTACCATCTACTACACTAATGGCCTTTGCAGAGATACTGCCAGAAATGGCAGACAATGATGGGTGTTATTAACAGAGGGCAAGTTCATCCGAGGGCGACACTTAAACCCATAAACTACTGCGCTATTTTCAGCTCGATGTGTGCTGCAGTATTGTGGGGTCTGATTTGACCTAAAAAAGCTCTTTTTGTCAAATTGATACAGAACAGCAAACCCACAACTGCACTCCTCAGCGCTATACCCTCCCCTGACGATCTGAACTTCAGCTCTTGATAGATGATCTGAACGCTCGGAGGAACGTTATCACTGCCACGCTCTGTTGGGACACGCGGTGACAGAGCCAGGTTTGCCAGAACAACAGCCAGGGGGATCCAGGACAAAAGTCTTATCTTTTTCCCCCTCTGAGAGCTCTAAGATGCGCTCGTATTACAAGTTAAACGTTTGAAAGTGATTTCAGAACGAACAAACAATCTTAGGGTTGACTCTGAAGGCCAGGGAAAGCTTTTGGAGGTGAATGTTGATGGAAACACTTGAGGTCCCCATGTAAGCTTGGGTTAGGCTGCTCTTGACCCAGAAATCACAGCAGCCAAGCCAGACAGCGGGTTCTTCGAAAGCCAGCCCAGATCAGATAAATTTACGTAACCAAAAGCAGTAGAGGGAAAATAGCAGTGTCTTTCCTCCTGTGACAGGATGAACAAGCAAATCGCTGCAAATCCAACACAACCAGGCAGTCAGGGCTTTAAAGCTGTGGGACTTCCTAAGCAGAATTACAGAGAAACAGGCAGAGTCCAGTGCTGTGAACCCCAAAGCAGCAGCATCTCAGGGGGGGGGAGGAATTTTGCTTTTCAGTCCGAACTCCTGCAGTTGGCATAACCGAGGCGATGCACACAGGGAGCGTGAGATGGGTCTGTGCCTGGATGCAGACACTTTCCCCTCTAGGTCAGCAGTGGGGGAATTAAAATTAAGAAATGAAATGACTGTTCTTATCAGCCCACGCAAAAATGAGTATTGTCAGTTCAGCCTTCAGGAAATTATTCAGTTACCTAAGGCTGCATTAGCAAAGGTCTCCTGGGAGCTGTAGTCTCCCTCTGCACACCGCAGACCCGGCTGGGCTTGCTCAAGCTTCCTAAAGATCAAGTTTGTCCCGGTCCATCCTTCAAGTAGGGCTGGACTCACCAACATGCCTCTAACCCTGCCTGCTTTTACTGATGTTATAACCTGAGGGAATAGCAATTGGGGTTTTGAACAACCATGAGCAATGTAAAACAGAAAAAAAAAATAAAGGTCGGTTGGTTGGTTGGTTGGTTGGTTGGTTGGGTTTTTTATTGACCAGTGGGAGAAACAAGCAGCAATCCACCCACCTCTACCACCCATCCAGCATCCTCGGGGGACAACACTGCCTCTCGAACACAACCCCTGTCCCCACCACGGTGAGAAGTTTGGGGCATCTCAGCTAACCCTGAGCTTGGAGCGTGCTGACAGCAAACCTCCAGCTCCCTCCCACACCCCTCCGAGCCAGGAGACCCCACTGGCTCCTCTCCTCCCAGACACTTCTCAGCAAGAATTCAGAGTCCTGGCCCTGCAAAATCCGCCCTCCCTCGATGCACAGATCCCTCTCTGCTGCTGGCAGCGCCACCTTCGCTCTCTCCCCCTGACACAGGGACACGCTGGCCCACCGCTTACCTCCTTCAACCCACCCTCGAGTGGATTTCAAGGCTGATTTTGTGCTCTTGAAAAGTGGGGAAATTAATTTATACCTAATTAATTGCTTCTAGCTCCACTTTCTCCGCACGCTGAGAGCCGACAGCCATTATCCCCACCAACCAATGTTCCCAAACATTTCCAGAATGTTCAGTACAAACAAACAAAAAAAAAAATCAATTAATCACTTCTCTGTGGATTACCCTCTTTTTCTTTTCCTCTGGGAGCTGAGAGTGTTCTCTTTCTTAATCTGCACAAAAGGGACAAATTAAACTCTCGTCTGTTCGGAGGCACCTAAGGCCCCCCCAGGGCACAGCTCCGGTGTGGATAAGCCTGTGGCCCCCACGGAGGACATCAGCTCCCCACTGAGCCACTTTCTTGCACTCAGCCACGAAGGTAATTTCCTAATGGAGCATCTCCCACAGGGCAGTTCTGAGCTTTCCATCCAGCTCCACCTTTGTCACAAAAGTAATCGCTTCGCTCTGCTCTCCTGTTCTCCTGGCTGCTGAAGCCTAAGAGCAAAAACACCTCTGGGGATCAGCTCAGCACTCGGTTTCCCCCTCCTTTTTGCTAAGAGGCCCTCAAGCAGCGTTGCCTGGAACAAAACTGAGGTCCTGATTTTCACAAGGCCGGATTCTGTCCCTGCCTGAGCCTCAGGGTGAGCTGCAAACCTGTTGTTCAGCATCACTCCGTCCCTCCCACCCAGCTGCAGGGCAGCGAGAAGCTCTGGATGCCCCAGGGCTAAGGACCAGCCAGCTGCAGCAAACCAACCCCCTGAAATGGGGCTGCAGACAGGAGGGGAAGAGGAACCCGAGCAAAGCCTTCAGCCCTGGGAAGCCAGGAGCATTATCTGCGGAGCTCTGCGCCTTGGAGCCTCTTGATTTTGATATTTATAGCTCCAGCTAATCAGGATGCAGACAGTGTTGTTCACCTTGAGCAGCTCCCTCCATTCCCACCCCACACCCTGGCATCAGCAACAGCCTTTGCTGCCCTCCCTGGACACACTCAGGGAAGCAAAACAGGACAGAAAAGGCTCAAGGAGGATTTTTGCTGAGCTGCTCCCACCCTCTGAGGAGGGAAAATCAGCACCAGTTCACTGACATCTCTGGTTCCATCCGGCTCTTTGCCCATAGGCTGATATTTGATCTGGCACGTAGGATGGTGATTTGTGTCCTCCCAGCTGCACACCCACACGGCGCTCCCCATGTCCCTGCCACTCTGCTCACCTTTCAGATCCCCACTCACCCTGACATTGCCCAATTCAAGCCAGTTTATTCTTAATAGCTCAACAGGCCACAAGAAAAAAAAAATCTTTAAGAAGGACAAATTTAAATCACTTTAGACTATGAAGCCAGACACTAAAACAAAAGCAGCCAGCAATGCCGGCACGTAAAAAGCCTATTAATTCCCTGGCAGGACAGTGACTGACTAGCAGGGGTTAAGGAGTCTGCCGCCAGCCAGGGTGAGCAGCAGTGCTTTGGGACAGATTATTTTCTTGCCCTTTGAGCCTTGCTGCAGTGTCTGGGTGACACCGGTGCCCTCCCTCCTCAAGGTGCTCTCCGGGGAGCAGCACAGACAGGGACATTGCGTGGCCCCCGATCGCTGCCATGCCAAGGGCAGGGTCTGGGTGGCTGCTGCTGCAAAAGCATCTGCAACTCGCCCAGGGGCTCACGGGGATGCTCATGCAACCCCGAGCAGGCACAAGGCCACCAGGAATGGTGCTTTGGTCTAAGGAGGGTGTTTGCTAGCATCCGTCCTGCAGCAGGATGCTCTCAGCCCTGTTCACATGCTGGATCTGCCTCTGCTGAGCTGCTTGCGTCTTAAACGCTGCTGGGAATTTCCCAGTCCCTGAAAAGCACTGGGAAGCAAGTCCCACATTAAACATCACGGAATTCCTGCTGCACATGGGTAACTCCTCATCCCACCAAAGCCAGGGGAAACCAAGAGCCCTCCAGCCCACGCTGGAGTCACAGGAGCTGGGTTAGCAGGGGCCACACACAGCTGCTATGAGCCCTGTGGCTCATCTGGGCTCGTGGGGGTCTGGAAACTGGGGGCTGCAGACCTGCCCTTTGCAGCAGGTCTCCCTCCTGCTCACCTTGCCATCCTCCCCCAGCTCCAATCACTCTCCACAGCCCAGAGCCCTCGGCGTGGGTTTCCCTTCTCTACAAGATTGCAACAATTTTCTTTTGTTTATTCATGAAAAAAAAAAAAAAAAAGGCTAATCTGGAGAGAGCTGAGGTCTCAGGTGGCCCCCCTGGTGTCCACACCACATTAAACGCTCACTTTCAAGTCCAAGACACACAGCTGGTCGAAATTCTTCCCTTAGAAAGCTTTCTATTAAGAAATCAGCATCTCTGCAATGTCGTAATTAACTTCATTTTCCCTGTCTCATCACACTCAGCTGCCCTCACCCATTTCTCAGGGACTGATGCCTTTTTCAAGCAGAATAACAGCTGGCACAGCCATCCCCAGTGCAGACACCTCCCCATCACATCTCTCCTCCTGAAGCTTCACTTGGAAGCAGCAAATGGAGGTGTAGGGCCCTGACAGCCCTTAATCTGCCTAAACAGC